AACAAAGTGGGTCAGCATCGGCTGGGATGGTAGGACCGGAATCGGAGCAGTGAAAGTGGGGATGTGAGCAAGGGAGAAGGAGCTAGAGAAGGAATTTGGATGAAGGGAATGACGGGATGTGGAAAAGAGAGAAGGGGGGAGGAGACGGCACAAAAAGTCAACCCCGGGTGGTTGAACGAGCCGAAGAACCAGGAAAGAAGGCAAAAAAAATACCCACCTCTTCTTTGGGTAACGACTTATTGCTCAAGAAGGTCTTCTGCAGCCTGTGCCGCCAATCACGCACTTTGATTGATTCATTGTCTTCAGAGCCTTTAGCTGGAAAGAGAAGAACAGAATCAGCTTCTGACATGGCGAGCAATTGAAAGGACAAGTGATTGGAAGGTGATGGGCGGTGCGAAAAGAGTGGTTGGAAATGATAAAGCATGCGATGGAGGAAAAGGAGTGGTAAGAAGGGAACAAGATTCGAAAACAACCTCCATCGTTGAAAGAGGCGGTGTTTGCCCTCACTAAAGAGTAGCGAAAAGTGGTACCCTGGAGTGACATTTGAAAGTCACCAGGGCTGCGGAAAAGGATGATAGAATACATCGCAAAGGCAAAGAAAGCACCGAAACCCAGGAAAAAGTGCGCCAGAGGCAAGTGAAGGTCGACGCTGAAGACAAAGAGACGCCAAAAGGAAAGCAAAAGAGAGAAGAGAGCGGTAGGGGCTGATAAGGAACGAGATGAAGGGAGAAAAGCACTAAGAAGTGCGGAAAGTGCAAAAAGGTCATAAAAACAACCATGGCCCATGGAAAATGGCGGTTATTGCCCCAAAATCAAGATAAGAGAAGCCTAGGGCCCGAGACGACGATTGAATGGAACCAGCGCCTCCGAAAATAATGATAGGCCACAACAAAACGGACAAAAGGGGGAAAACCGAAAAATTGACGACACCAGGTATAAATGAAAGTTGATTTTGAAGAGAAAGGAGGCCAAAAGGCAGGCAGAAGAAGGAAAACAATGACAGAAGGCGATACAGCGTGAAAGGAAGCGAGAAAAAGCGCTCAAAAGTGCAAAAAGGTCCGAAAAGAAACCGTAGGGTCAAGAAAGACGGAGGACGTCTAAAATTCGAGAACAAAAGACCCGAAAACGTTTGGGGGGGACCATTAAAAGGCAGCAACGCCTTGGAGAAGATGATTGAGCATAAGAAGTGTAATAAAAGGGGTCAAAAGGACGAAAAATGGCGTCAGAGGAGGATCAATGTTAGCGCCAGGATAAGGAAAGGCACCAGAAACGAGAAAAAGAAGGGAAGGATGAGGAAAGTGCTTTCGCAAAGCAAAAGCAGCTATAAGATGAAAATGAATGGGACAAGAAGGGAGGAAGCAAAGGATGGGTCACGACAGAGTGAGAAGGAAGGTCAAGCAAGAGAGAGGCGGATAGAAGAGAAGAGAGAGATATAAGAGAAAGGGAGGAACATCAGAGGACATTGAACGAAGTCAAAAGCGTGAAAAGAGGACATAAATGGGGTTGGTTGCGAGAAGCAATCCGATGAAAAGGGTGGAAAAGGTCAAAGAACGGGGGTGTTGGCAAAGCATAGCTCTCAGAAGAAGAAAATGGCAGAAAAAGGGTCTAGCGCATTCAAAGAAGATGAAGAGGGAAAAAGAGGGGCAATAAGAGAAGTTACGGCAACAACCAGAAAGTGCAAAATGAGGACAAGCTAGAGATCAGAGCGATCCCACTGATCCACCAAACCACCAGGTCCGCAGAACCACAAAGAAATGAATAGAGAAAGCAGACTTACCTAGCTTCTTCACCACCATCCAAGTAGACCTTAGCGATCCCTGTCTCGCTAGACGCCATTCCGGCTCTACCTCCTCTCATCCATCCTCGGCGTTCCTCGCATTCCTTGTCATCCCTCTCCCTACTATCATCCTCACTAATCCGCACGAGATCCGGTCGTAATTCATATCCTGTAGGAGGACAAGGATCCACTGCGGCCGACGGATCGCAAGGATGATCTTGGTTTCCTGCAGCTCGGGCCTCGCCTCGCGGATCCTACAAAAAACCAACCAATTAGCTCATCATCAAGAGGGGAGGCGTGATGTCGTGCCAAGCGGTTATGCGAAACTCTATTGTCAGGCCGATGGAATGATTACGATCGAAGATCCAAAGTCCTACCTACCGAAGTATCGAATGCTGGAAGCACAACGAGGCGTCTGTGCACCACCGGAATTTCTTGGGTTGGATTATTGTCGTTACGGCGAGCCGTCGGTACAGCTGCGGAGTACTAAGATCTAAGTTGGGCGAACCAAAAAAGGGCGTCGTCACGAAGTTCGGGGCAGCCGATCGCCGCAGGAGTTGGAATGGGTGAGTGAACCTCCTTCTGGTAATGGTGCCTTAGAAAGGGAAGCGTCACTCGAACCATGGATGCTCACCTGATAAACAGCACAGAACGTCTACCGTTGCATGACTAGCCTCTCCTCTGCGCCGTAAAAATGTACGGTCCATTGTTCGTCGTCCTGAACGTGGTGTTACAGGGAGCTTTCCGGTCTAATAGTATCCCGAAGCACCTGCGTTGAGTTCAAGGGGGGGTATGGTGCACGATGTGAACTGTAGGATAGATGATCAGAAGATGGACGCTTCGAGGAAAGTAGATGAAAGAGGGCACGCACGTAAACTTCAGCGACAAGACGATCGCCTCTCCGTTTGTCGTTGATCTTTCACTTCACTCGAAGGGTGGTTGACGTGGGTTTCCAAATCAACCGCGGACCAGGATTACGGTGATGAGACGTTCGTGGAAAACGAGGACACGAGGGCTGTGAGCGAAAAAGTAGTCGAACGAATCAGAATAGATAGCCATTCCAAAACCTCCACCTGTTTGAAAGCTTGTGCGCCATGCGTGAACTTGCAATTCCGTGTCAGGTTTACTCTCAATGAGCGATGACAGATCAAGTACTCACCCAGCGAATGTCGAGCAGGAGAACTGGACAGCTCTGCAAATGTAACGAGAGATTCCCAGGCGCGCGAATGGTAAGCTAGCAAAGTTGGCGGAGATGATGGATTGCTCAATATTTGTTTTGGTCGTTGTCTCTTTCCACTACCACGACGAGTCGTCAAAATTCACTCTTCGCACATATAACCACCTCCAATGGCAGTCTACTGGTGTTTGTAGCTGCTATTATGTAATAGCAGGTGGCTATGCATATGCTTATGTGATAGCAGGTGGCTATGCTTTTGCTTATGTGATAGCCATAATCTCCAGCCTGCTTCTGTAATACTTGCCCTCTCTGCAGTCTTCCACTACATTTTTACATCATATAAAATCGAGATTATACTGAGATTATTACATGAGTATGAGCTACCAAATTTTTATGCATTTTACTGTTCAAAAAATTGTTAAATCAGCAACATCAGTTGAAATTGACATTTTTTAATTCTGAACTTGCTACTGTGCCATTTTTATCAATTCAGCAGTCACAGGTCATAGGCCATTTACAACTACCAAAAAGGCATGTGGGGTTATGGCAATTTTTGGTCAACTGCCAAAACAACTGGAAAAATAGTAAAGAAATCCCATAGAAATAACCCTGAGAAATCCAACAGACATTTTGGACGAAATTGACTCCTGAGTACAAGAAATTTGAAGTCTTCAAATAAAAGAGTAATACCTCATTGCTTTGATAAACATAATTTTAAATTGTGGCTTGTTAATCTTCTGAAATTTCAACTGAAGCTTTGGATAGATTATGTCTTTCTGTGTAAGATATTTTCAAGCACTTGCATAAGTCTTACACTTGACTGTATCACCCAGAAAACTTTACCCTATCTACTGGAAAGAATATTGTACAGCTGGTGTGTCCCTTGTTTTTTTCCCCTTGTTTAGATGGTTGTATGATTGTCTGGGATGGAGATTCTGATGACTTTTAGTTGTTTACAAAGCTTATGCATGAGAGAAAAACCAAGATTCAGAGCAAAGCTGCAATTATATGGAATGGTAATCATGCAAAGGGAAATGGGATGAAAATTTTCATTTTATAGCATCGCATGTCATAGTTTCACACATGAAAACTACTGTAAGTTATCATCAAACTTTCAGAAACAAAATCACAATGCCAGGTTGTAGATGTACAAAGAAAGAATCCTGTTTGGTCAAAACTAATTCAACAACAAAGTGGAAGTGCTTCACATGCACCCCACCAAAAAAAAAGGGTTAATTACTCCAACCTACATCCTTGAAAGTGCTCCAGAGCTGCCCAGATGTAGGTGGAAATGGAAGGATGGGCTAGTAGTTTACAGCTCATGTATAGAAGATAAGATAAGATAAGAAATATTCTCTTTTCTTTTGCTTTTTTCCTCTTTTTATTTTATTTTATTTTATTTATGTAATAGCAGCTACAAACACCAGTACCCTGCCCCTCCAATGGTCCCCACGCTGCCTGCCTTCTTCCTGCAAAAGTGTGGGATCACTGTTACTGTACGCATATAGCCACCTCCAAACACACATACGGGCGTCTCCCTCATTCTTTCTTTTCGTCGTGCAACTTCGAGGGAATCCTTATCATATCGGTACTCATTAGCTGCATCGGGGGCATTCGCGGTTCTCGAAACTGACGCTTCACTGTATATATTCTCGCAGAAGGCGGTATGCGAGAAAGTTCGATGGCGCGTCCGGGAACGCCAACTGGACTTTATAGTTCGGGACCAGCTCGTTGGTCTGCATGCTTGGCTTACTGGACGTACAGACATCGCGTTGGCATCTATCATGGACACTCTCTTAGGCTCCTCCCTCAGGCCCAGGGCATCTGCAGAAGAACTCGACACTCCGATCCCTGAAACTTTCCAGCAACTTCCTCTCATCAGTTCTTGCACCCGACGGCGAAGGAACCTAGGCCCTTGCAAGTGGGCGTGACGACTAATGGGGAGGGGTGTCGATTAGCATCCAGGATTGCGAGGGAGGTAGCCAGATTGCCCAAGGATGTGGGGTGTGCGGTGCAGAGCGTAGGGCGGATGAGAGGTCCAAGGCCATGGACCACACCGATGCAGACGAAGTCTCCGCAGAGGACAATGGTATACACACTCCGAACTCTCGCGTTGAAGAATCAACTCGACACCGCCTGAAATGTGTCGCCCAAGTGAACAATACTGGCCCCTCTCCGAACTATCTACCCATTGGACGAAGAGATGCTCGAGCTGACGCCTCTGAACCCACCACCCATTCACACCTTCTCGCCCACTCCCAAACTCGGGCGAATTGTCCTGCTGGACTCTGGGAACGGACACTGCCCACACACCAAACACTCTATCCACGCGTACCACGCGTTGGCAGACAAAGTCGTCCCGCAGGGTGTGCTAGATCTCATGCCCGCATGACAGAACTTATCATCGCGAAGAAGCTCCTCGGAAATGCAGATGAAAGCCAGGAAGAAATGGTGCATTTCGCTGTGGAAGGCGCGCGGAAGGGGTTCGCGTATGTTCTTTCTCTTTGAGCATTTGTCTTGTTACAAACTTACTCCCACTATATAGTCACAAGCCGATCTCTCTATATACGACCACTCCTCTGAAGAGACACTTTTCTTCCGTACGCGAGGGTTCGAGCCCCTCCTCATTTCATGTATCTCCTCCGCGTTGGCCAGGCCGACGTTCGTTGGTATCCCACTCACGCACGGGAGCGTGGTTGTGTGGGAGCAGGGTACAGATGCCGGAGTATGCGTTGGTTATTTTGATGGATGTTGCGAGGTTGCAAAGGGTTCTTGATGCACTTCTGGGCGTTTCTTCGTTAACTGGGCCCACTACTACTTGTACGGCCAAGACATCCACCACCAAAACGACAAGGACAGCAATCCCATACACCCAAGTCGCTATCTACCAGACGTATTGCATCTAGCCTCCAAAACGACACTCCCTTTTTGAGGAGACAACGACTTCCTGGTGACGACATGCTCGAGCACCCTAGTTAAACGGTAACTCTTTCGAGGAGTGGTCGTCCAGAGATCCCGGATCCAAGAAATGTGGCTTGATTGGCGCATGTCGGGCAGCAAATCCTACGTTCTTCACTACATCCGTCTACCCCAGAATCCGAATTTCTACCCCCTTGGGTTCCGACCTGCGCGGGTCTCCCAATTCGAACATCTTCACGTCCAGAGTGCTGTGCCAGTGTTCCAATTGCTCATGTTCAACGTGCTACCTGAGCAGCTCTTGCAACTTCGACGGTAACGGACGAAAGCCCAAACCACTCCTTCATCCTCTTGGTTCCCTCGCGGCTCCACGTTACGATAATGCATCTTGACCATCTATTTCGCGTTTGGCAGCACCTTTCCTCCTTGTCTCCCAGCTACATCTCTCCGCTTCCTCGTCCCTCCATCCTCTTGGCCTTCTACTCGTGGCTCTTTCCTTCCACCGTTTATCGCCATCCATTTCGTCTTTGGCAGGATATCCTCTCCTCGCCTTTCCTTCATTCTGTCCCGGCCTTTTCCATCGATCCATATCACTTGAGTCAGAGGGCCTTCGTATGACAATGCTGCCTCTCAACTCTCGCAATTGCTACCTTGAGCCCGCCAAATTCGAAGTATTGTTCACGGTAACGGATGGCGGGGGCTCAAACCACACATTTTCCGTCGTGATCCATCTCGACGATTGATGAGATTCATGGCGTTTTGCCCCTGGCAGTCCTGCGCCTACATGAGCCCAAACACGCCCCAGCTTTTCTTTCCTTGCATCCCAAATTACTATCGGTTGAGGTTTCCCAATCCTAATGATGCAACCCAAGCATGTGCGACGTGCTGCCCGATGTCAAAAGGCTGTTCACGTTATCGGACGACCACACATCTTGTGAGGCAGTCACAGCTTCCCCTTTGCCTGCTCCTCATGGCTCGTTTCTTGCGCTTGACATCTCATTCCGTCGAACGATTTGTCTTTGCTGGGACTTCCTGGATCTGCTCAAATCCTTTTTCGCATCCAAACCAATGCTTCTGTGTGGTCTACTGCGTGCTACCTTGAGTAGTCTACTTCCCCAGTTGACCGTTTCGTTCATCGTCACCAACCCACCTACAGCAGCAGCCCTCTCTCGTCCTCTCGGAAGGCTCACTACTTGACGACTGTGACAAGACGGTATCCCTAGAAGAGACCTATCTCTCTTATAAACGCGCGCCATTGGCCTGTCGTACACCATCTCCGCCATTGGCCTGTTATACACCATCTCCGCCATGTGACCGGCCACTATGAGCACCAGTACTAGTATGGCGTACCCGAGCTCCTCTTCAAGCCACCAAGCTTCTACTGAGATGCAGCCTGAGGTGGACCGCGCATTGGCTGGGTCGTACATCCACCTGATTCCTGGCCAACTCACCCATCCTTCCCTCCCAAAGCCAACCATTTTTCCTTTTCCCCCACGTTCACCCTCTCATGCAGTCCAACGGAGAATGTGTTCGCTACCCAGGTCAGTCGATCTCCTCTTCCGCTCGACCCCCTTTTGACATACCTCCCCTTCAACGATCAGATCCGAACGGGTCCATCATATCCCGTTCCAGCCGCTGATGACTATGGTAAGCTTACCCACTCAGCTTGTAGCCATCCATATAACAACGTTGTAGAAGATTCCCTTTACGATTCCTCTGACGACGAAGACCAGCCCATTCACCCTCTCGCACTCGCAGGTGCCAAGTCCAAGAAAAAGGCGTACAATGTGTGTTGGGGGCATAACATACTTTTGTTTTGTTACTTACATTCCAGTCTAGTTCTGCTGCACTTGCAGCAATGGGGAATGGCGGATGTGGATTATGTTGTGTGGTTACAACTCGAGAGCTTGCCAATGTAATGTTTGTAGACCATGTGATGGCCGATGAAGTAGAAAATATATTATAGCCTATGTATCTTATACTTACCTACAATCTTGTAACTCATGCCTGAATTTTTCCTCCAAGTTCACTAAAAGATTTGTACCAGCCTTTTGAAAGAAGTGAGTCATGATTCTGACAAAAAAATAAGGTCAGAGATTCCTGAACCAACTTCTTGACTGGTGCATATACCATATTGGGAAGTTTGCAATGACCAACGCCTTTGAACATTGATTCTCAACAACACTGTAGAATTCTTGGATGTTCCAGGATAGCTGTTTAGCATTGATGTAATCTCATTATCTCACAATCAACGTTAAAACAGGAAAAGCTTTCATGTTCAGCCCTGGTGACCTTGTTGAGAAGACCATGACATGTGGGAGTGAGGAAAGTGCAATGGGTTGTGCTGACAAGATGTGTGAACACCTAAACAACACACACACACACTAACACCTTAAACACTTATCACCACAGGTATGTGTTTGGTGCTTTGAGTTTGGGTTCATTGGGGAGCTTGCTCCCCTTTGTACTGCTAACTGACTCCAAAAGGTAGATGATGACCTAATCCACAAGTAGTTGGCTGTGTTTACACATTGCACAGCATGGACACCCCATGTGAACTTGCTGATGTGTGCATGACTCACATGACACAAATGACCATGATTCTGAACTCTGTGTCTGGTCATTTCTGAATCTAATTCTTCTCTTCCAAGCCTGATCTCAAGTTACTTAGTATATCTTTCTTATCTAATTTGATCTGGTTACTACAGTCCAATTTAAATTTTCTGATGTATCAATTGCCCTCTTTCTCCTTCCTTGGCTTCTAATTTACACCTCAAATAAGTTTGAATTTTTCTTGAGCTATGTCTTCTGACCCTAATCTTCTGGCTGCAAAAAAAGGCTGGAAAAAACCTTGCTGACAATGTTTGCATTCAGGAATACAATCACAAAATTCTGGTAAGTTCTATAAATCTTTCTTGACAGATGAGTGTTAGCTTCTGACTTCTATTTTCAATCTGATGGGGCAGGGCCTTGAAGGGTGATACAACACACCAGTGTGTGTGATTTTTTTTCTACATATAAAACACAAAAACATAGATTTTCCAATATTTTTCATTATTCCTAATTTGCCCATGCAGATTGCTGGAGCTGGGCCTTCTCAGATTATTTTACCTGATCCTACTCAGCTTCACAGTTTGACTCAGATTCTTGCCCCCTCAGTTACTTGTGTCAACCCTCAAGGCTCAGGCTGGAGTCCCAACAGCACATTAGGAAGACAAGACAGAAAAAATCCTTTCATGAACCCAGCTTACATTGTCTTTGGGCCTTTGGTGGCTGGCCTGTGTAATCTCAATTTGCAAAAGCCAAGGGTTGACTCTAATTGAAGCTTCAATTGATCTGGGTCCTAGAGATTTTGCACCTGGTGGGGCTTCCCATTGAGTCACCTGCAACAAGTTGAGCAGGAACTCCTTAAATGAAATTTCACAGAGAGGACAACATACAGTGTGAAGCCCTAGGTTTGACATAAACAATTAATGGTTGGAAGTTCAGTCTTGTGACTGGAAAATGACTGTAATCAGACCAAACCAAGACTGCAAAAAGACCAGTCTAACTGAACTGCTTTTTTATAGCCCATTAAATACCCTTCAAAACACACTCAAGCACATATTGATTGGTTCAAAACTAACAAAGATATAGTTGAAAATGTAAAATTTTACTGAAAATAGTAGATATACCAAACTTTTTTTATAGAAACACCAACTCTTAACAGAATTTAATGTTCTTGGCTCTTTTTAAAGCTACAAAAAACATTAATAGATTGACTGATTTATAATTCTAAAATATTGGCAAAAAGACCAGTTTCAAACCAGTTAAAACCAAAGAAGACCAAAACCAATCTATAGACCACAAAAAGACCACAGACCACAGTTTTTTGTGGTCCAGTTCAGTTTTTTGACTTCTGGGAAAAGGGAAGACTGGTTAAAGCCCTGGAGCATCAAAAACCAGACCATACTAGACTTTTAAACACTATAAACAATTATGACATGGATTCATCTGAGTATATATTTTATGGTCAAATATGCTATAAGACCGATCAGCAATTTTGATATGAAAAAACAGTTGATTCAATAAACTAGGATACATCAAGCTCCCCATCTAGTCTGTGAGGTACTTGCATACAAATTCGTTCTATGGTAAATAGAATTACCACACTTGTTTTGTTAGAATTTAAGTAGAAGTTCAGGGAAATAGTCCTGTATATTTTATAACACTCATCTAAGTCTAATAGACCTTTTGGAACAAATGGTATTGTTTTTATGTGCAGGCACAAGTATATAACTCAAAACTTAATAGTCTTCAACTTTTATTGTGACTATCTCACTGTTCTGAGATGGTGTTCTAACTGTATATGAAGAAATGACAAGAAAACTGTGCTTTATAGACTTTTGTAACTCCCTTGAGCTTTTATTATGCCTCTGATTCAATCCAAACTAGTCCTAAAGTCTCTTCAAGGACACTCACTTGGATTCCTTGGAAGTAGTAGAGAGCTCTCTTACTAACTACAAGACAACCTTACAAAAGCTTAATGATTCCCACTTTACATGATGGTTCTGGGCACACATTACTTATGTCTGTGAAGAAAAGTCCTTTTAATTGATTACAAACTTATCCACTACCTTAAACGCTACTGGGAGTGTGACAGCTGGTCAACAAAGGATAATTCCTTGTGTTTCAGCCTGTGCATGTCCTCCTTTTTATATTATTCTAGGTTTTTTATTTTTTATTACATGTCTGTGCATGGCCCAATAGGTCAGGTCAATTTTATAATAGTTTTTAGTAAAGGTTTTGAAGTGGCTCAGTTATGTGTGGCACAACTGAGCTGACTTCTTTTAGGTTTTCATAGTGTTTTCTCTATTGTGGAAACATGACACATCAGTATTGATGCATATGCAGGATTTGCCATAAACAGTTTTCATGATTGGTTCACCCAAGGCAAACAGTCTGCTTACTGATTTTCTCTCTATTATTAGATACTGTGCATGGATTCTGGACTGCATGGCAAATCATTGTAGTTTTTCTCTTGGGTAGACTTCAGAATATTTCACAAAGCCTTGTTTTCTTGGGTAGTGATGCCATGATTTGTGCACAAGTACTAGTTGCCTTATTCCACTAACACTGAGCCCCCCGACCATACAAACAGACCATAGTTGATGGTGCCTGCTGAGGAGCTCATGGATCAGTTGACCCCATCAAAGGTGTTCTTAGGACTGGTACTGTGCGTTGGCTGAGAAGTGTACCCCACAAATTGACATAGCTAAAATGACTTGGATCCTGGATCAACTGGTCTCCTCATGGATTGGGCTCAACATGTGTCATGGGTCAGTTGAAGAGCTTTGAATCCCATGCATTGTGGATCAGCCCATCCAGTTGACAACTATGGCCCAGTTTCATTTTTATTTGCCAAGTTAACTCGGCTTTTCATTGCTGGTCATGGTCCAGTCTTTGGTCATGCAGTTTACTGGGTCCATGACCTCCCAAGAAGCCAAGCACAGTGACATTCACAGTCACTGCCAATACATTGACTTGAGGCTGTGAGATATATTATGCATACCCCCAGTTCAAAATCCCTACAAAGTGTATATCAACCAATGTTTCTTGTAAACATACCCATGTTGAAACCTTCCATCCTGTCTGCTTTCACATTGATAGCTACTGGCCTGTTTGAAACATAGTCAACTTTGATACATTCATGTGGGGGAGTATCACTGAAGAATTGACATAACATCACCAGTTTTTGGCATTATGACCAAGTTGGCATTCAATGATGGGCTGATCTATCCTTGGAGGTGTCTTTAAGTCAGGTCATGTTGTAAGTTGACCATGTATTGAGTAGATATCAACATGAATAGCCTCCTCTAGCTTAAAAGACAAGTTGGGCATGATGTGAGAAATTGATTGATGTGCCAATAGCAATATGTGAAGTCATGTCAATCCTTCAGCCATATCCACATGAGCATACAATTATGTTTTGAGATACGACAGTAGGTATCAATATGAAAGGCTCAGAATGGCCTTTCCTAATGTGAAAAACAACTTGTGCATGATGTCAAAAACTAATGCTGCAGCACTGGCAATATGATGGCAATCCTTCAACCTCATCCCCATAACATACAGTTGAGTGCAAAAAGAATGAAGGTTGGTTCATTTTTCTGGTTCTTTCTAAGAATCTGTTGTACCTCAAATGTATTTGTGTATTCTTTTACATTATGTAGTTGTGTTACACTTCCCTTGGTATGGACTAATTTCAGTGAAAGCTGGAGCCTTGAGAAGGTTTTTATTCTGGAGGCCATTTTTGGCATCTGAAAAAAAAAATATGCACTAACTGGGGAGGTAGCCAGAACATGCCTCTGGTCAACCTGAATGAGCCTATGAAAGAATCAGTCAATTCTTGGCACTGTAAAAAGCAATAAAGGAAGTTAAATTTAACCCTCTTAAACAAAGGAACCCTGAGAGATAATTTTAATTCTTTGTTTGTGTTCCCTCAGGCTAGAAAGATCTTTCAATGACATTAAATAGTTGCCTCATCATTGTTGCCAAGGGAAAATAGGGTCTTTCTTTATTTTCCTTTCCTGGCAAAAATTTCTTTTGTTTCTCAGTCATTCCTGCACTAACAAACCACCAATAAATATTTTACATACAGTCATCCATGTGATAATGTTACATAACTGCTCAGTTGTATGCCCAGGAGGTATTTTGCATCTCCTGGCAGAATGAAATGAGCTACTCTGCTCATTTTTTTCCCAATCTTCGGAGCTAATGCCTACAGAATTGACCATCAAAAGATTTTGATAAAACACACACTTCCAAGTATTCAAGCTGCAGAGAATGCCAGGCAGATTATGAACTTTGGATGTTTTCAATCTTATGCAGAGGGCCTTGCCTTAAAAGTGCTCTACCTAGCCATAACACTCATGTATTTAGTGATCAGCATTGGTAATGTCATGGTTTCTTCACACTAATGAACACATTACACTGCCTTTTAACAATTCACAAAGACCCTGCACCCATGTGTGAAAGCTGCATGCAGACCCTGAGCAAGCCTTGCCATCTACTTGTGTTTACAGACTTTCACTCCATCTACTCATGTTTACAAACACTCTCTCCATGTATTCATGTATGCAGAGGGTGTACAAACATTGACTGTTAATCTTAGTGGACATTCATTCACTTAGCACAGCATATTTTCTTTGGAAAGTTCACCAACCTGCAGCTGCAAGGCTAGTTCAAGGTTCTGTATGTGTACGCCAGAGTGGGCCCAGTATTTTCCTCAACTGCTTATCCAGTGCCCCCCATTTTTCTCTCACCTATGGCTGGCCAAGCCAAATCTGATGTTGACAAGGCTTATTCTTGCAAACATGTTTATGAGGCTTTGATGGTCTGTGCTGTTGCCCCAGACAAGGCAGATCAAAATAAGCCAAAGAAAGATCATCATGGATACCACAAAAGCTGCCTCGATTTGAGGTCTTTATGCTGCCAGTGCTTTTCCAAAGCTTTTCCAAGCATTTCTGGTCAGACCTCTAAGTCCATCAGGCTTTTCTGATGGACTAACAGCCAACTAGCAGCCAGTCCACTGGAAATAACCAGCAAGCACCAACAGACTATTGTTATTATTATTATATAATATAAAAAAATGCAACATCATTGGATTGAACACTTAATCTCAGGAGCACATCCAGAGTATCACACACAAATGCTAAACCTGCTGTACCAAGAAGGCTTTGTTAGAGGTATATATTTTGTACTATACATACCAACTGTTTGATGGCTTTCCTAGAAAGGACATTGGCAAACGCTGATGCTTGGTTTGGGCATAATCAATGATCCACAACTCTTTTCCTCAACCACCACCATCCCCAGCATCATCTGACAGTGATGATGCATGATGACATTGCTATCCAATGTGAGTCCCAATCCCCACCCAACCTCTGACAAGGATTCCAGGTGCCACGTCACTGACATCAACATGGCAACCAAATGACGAATGACAAATCTGACAGATTGGTCATTGGTCATTGTTCATTGGTGAGCACCCCCATCCCAACCTGCCTCATCTGACCCACCAACAGATAATGACACATGATGACAGCCCACCACACCCACCAGCACCCACAAACGGCCATGACAGCCCAACTAACCCCACACAACAACAACACAGGGACACAGCCAGCAGTGAGGACCCACCATCACACCCCACCAATGGCAACAATGGCTTACCACACCCACCAGCACCCATAAACGGCCACAACAGCCCACAAACAGCCCACCAATGGCAATGGTGACCCAGCATCACCCATGATACAATGATGTGTCAACAACATGCAAG